ACATCTTGTTTAGCCACCCATCAGCTGATGGATATTTGTATCGCTTCCACTTTTGGCTATGGTGACCAGGGTTGCTATGAACATTCGGGTGCATATTCTTCTGTAAATATGCACTTTCAATTCTCTTGAAAGCTCAATTCTCTACAAGTGGAAATGCTGGGTTATACAGTAACTCCGTTTAACTTTTTGAGGAATTGTCAGATGATTTTCCAAAGCTGCTACACCATTTTGCATTCATACATTACACATTCTGAATAAATAATAAGTTTATGTGATTAAAAATCAAAATGAGGGGCACGTGGGTGTCTCAGTCAGTTGAGCATCTGACTCTTGGTCTCAGCTCAGGTCCTGACCTCAGGGTCATGGGATCGAGCCCTGAGTTGGGCTCTGTGCTCAGAGCAGAGTCTGCTTGGGACTCTCTCTCTCCCTCTGCCCCTTCCCCTGCTTGTGTGCATGCTCTCTCTCTCAAAATGAATAAATAAATCTTTAAAAGAAAATAAAAATGATATGCAGTACCTGGATGGCTGTCGGTTAAGTGTCCAACTCTTAATTTCAGCTCAGGTCATGAACTCAGGGTCATGAGATCGAGCTCTGCATAGGGCTCTGTGCTGGGTGTAGAGCCTGCTTGGGATTCTCTCTCTCCCTCTGCCTCTCTCCCCCACTCGCTCGCTCTCTCTAAAAAAATAAAAATGATATGAAATGAATACACTGACATATCTCACTTCCACCCAAATCCCCCTCTCATTTTGGAGTCTCCTTGCTCTCCACAGGTGGCTACTTTTGTTAGTTTCTCACACATTTCTTAAGTTCCTTTATCCCAAAACAGGCAAACACAGAGATTTGTGTGTGTCTATGTGCAAAAGGCATCATGCCTACACACTGCTCCTTGCTTTTCCACTCAATTGCATATTTTAAAGGGAGAATAGTCTAATGATAATAAACCCAGGCTCTGGAGCATCAGAGAGCCTAGGTTCAAATCCCAGCCCAGCCACTTTTAGCTGTGTGACCTGGGGACAAGCTTCAGTCTTCCCCTCTGTAAAATGAGGATAACCAGGACATCTACCGCCTGGAGCTGACTTGAGTGAATGTATGTGGGTCAGGCAGAATCCTGGAGGAAAGAGAATTCCAAGCAAAGGGGTTAAACTAAAGGAAATGTAGTAAAATGCACTCTCTCTATAGAGGGTGGGCAAGGTTAGGGGAACCCCTAAGAGCATGAAGCTCTTACAACCGCTGTTCCAGAGCTGAGGAAGGAGGGTCACCCTAAAGCTGAGGAAGGTGTCACCATGCACAAGACAGTCAGCATGGGCCAGAGAGGGGGCTAGGGGGTGAAATACCCCAAGCTCCCTCTCCTCCCATTTTCTGATCTCCTGCTCATTCCTCCATGGGTGATAGAGAACATAAAAGTCAGCTTCCTGAGGGGCAGAGAAGGTTAGAGAACAGATCTGGGGGGCAATGGAGAATAACCAGTGATGTCCTTAGGATGGCATTTGGCCAGCAGCAAGCTGGGAAAGCATTTGCCAGTCAGTTTACCTTTTCATATCAGTGCCCCAGAGTGTCCTCACCCTTCTTTAGTGCCTGGCGCTCCACTATCCTTTGTGTGCCGTCATTCATTTGAGCCAGGCCCCATCGACAGACCAATTGCATTACTGCTCCTCATGTTCCGTGGCCAATGCTGCAGTGAATGACCTTGGTAAATGTCATCTCATGCACAGAATGTGGCCCTTTGCTGTGAGACGGCCATTGAGTCAGGGGCTTTATGACACCCTCATCTCACTCCATCCTCAACAGTGCTGTTAGGTGAACTTGAATCGTTAAAAGAGAGGCTCAGAGAAGGGCTATCCCTTGTGCCTGGTGCAGGTGAAATGGGGGTACTGTCTGACTCCAGAGTACTTGCCCTTAAGCACCCCACCTCCCAAGGACAGGAATCCAGAGTCCCTGGGGCCTGACCCTTAATCACCAGGTGCCATAAGCTGAACAGAATGTCTCCCTTAAGTTACAGCCGCTGTCTGGAGCTGATGCTGACCCAGGTGTCCCACCGTGGCCCCATGTGCCATCTCATGGTGGCTTCCCACAATGAGGAATCTGTTCGCCAGGCAACCAAGCGGTACGTAGAGGGATGAGAAATGGGTACCCGCAAGAAGGCCCCCTCCCTTCCTCTCCCCCTTGCTCACATGCCAGGAATGGGCAGAGGGTGGTGGACATGGAATAGGGGGAGAGATGGTGAGGGGCCAGTAGGTTCACAGGGATTCAGGGGGGCCTATCCAAAATATTTAACCCCCGCTAAACCTGTAGGCCCTGTAGGTCCCAGCTAAACAAGACATTGCTCCTTACTTGCTGGGGCACAGGGAGGTCTGAGGGTTCCAGGGAAGGAGCTGGGACTCACTGGGGAGTTTTCAGGGAACTGAGAGCAGTGTTTATTTATCACTGAGTTCGGAAGTACTTCAAAATTTTAATAACTGGAACAGCCATATGAGTGCATAATGGCTGACGGTCAGCTCTGGATCCAGCCACTGTCTGGACTGATGATGTGGCCTTTTCTACAGCATGTGGGAGCTGGGCATTCCTCTGGATGGGCCTGTCTGTTTTGGACAACTTCTAGGGATGTGTGACCACGTCTCCTTGGCACTGGGTATGTGAATGGCTCATTCTCCCCATACCCCACCACCATGACCCACCCAGCCCTCAGCCTCATCCCCTCCCAGCCAAATCCCTCCTTCCACTCCCAAACAGTGCCTGCCCAGGCTCCCCTCCAGAGCCTGCAGCTGGCCCAGCCACCAGACTCTTCCGGATAGATTTGTTGCTCCCGTATCTGAAGGCCTTGCTCACCTGTCTTTGAGCCTGCTGTCTGCTGCTTTTGCTGGTTCTTGATCATGGTGTCTTGTTTCATGCTCTGTTATCTTGACTGTGTTGCTTCCCGGGGTCCGAGACCAGAAGATTTATGTTTTCTTCTTCCAGGTACTAAGGGGTACAGAATTACTTTACCCTAAATTCAGAGCTTGAGGTTTCCTGAGGCATCTCCATGATGCAAATTTGAGCTACAAATATGTGAGGCTAATCCACGGCCTCGATCTCTCAGAGATGAGTTTCTGTTTTCTTCTCTGCTTCACTTATGGTCAAGGCCACCATTCCCTGTGAGTTGGGGAAGGTGGGAGGGTTGACTTCTGGTTAACTCTGGCACTGAGGGTGCAGCTTAATTTGAGGAAGTGCTCCATTACAACTCACCCTGGTCAGGCTCTGGGCCTCAATTCTGCACCCCCTCAACTCTGTGAGGTCACCAAATTTTGCCTTCAGGGTGGAAGTGCTTCCTTGCATCTTTCCCTCTTTGGGTTCTCACTTTCTCTTAATGCTTGGATTACTAAATTCCTTACTCTTTTGGCCGTATTTTAATAACTTTAGGAAGATTTTTCTAAATGTTTACTGCAGGATTTTACGTTTTTTCAGTGGGAAATTTTGTCCAACTCAACTAGTCTGTCATGTCCTCAGAGATGAAAGTCTCTGTTCCAGATGGGGCCTCTCCCCAAACATGAGTTCACACCCTGCCAACACTCTCCCCACAGGGCAGGCCGGCTATGCCGTGTATAAGTCCATCCCTTATGGTTCCCTGGAGGAGGTGATCCCCTACCTGATCCGGAGGGCCCAGGAGAACCGGAGTGTGCTGCAGGGTGCCCGCAGGGAACAGAAGCTGCTCAGCCAAGAACTTCGACGGAGAGTGCTGGGGCGGGGCCTGAGGGTACCCCATTAGCATCATGTGGTTAATAAAGATCCTGAGCTATGGCCCAGGCTGCTGCCCTGCACTGAAGCTCCTCCTTGGGGAAGGGCTATTCTCCACCTCAGTGAGCCCAAGCTAGGGACTCTGCAGCTTAAGAGAGACCGCTAGCTGACCCTAGAGCATAGCAAGGGCATTGATCAAAGACTAATGATGCCTACCCCTCACCCTGAGGCCGACTATCCTGCAGTGGGCCTGGGATCAGCTCTACTCAGCCGGTCAATGACTCATGTGGGAACTTTCTTCACTCCAGGGGATGCCCAGATGAACAGCAGACACTGAGGCACTGAAACCAAGAGGCTGGGAGGGACAGAGGGAAGAGGCAAATCACTTTTTCATTTAATAAGCATTTACTGAGGTTCCTTCTGAGCTATGCTCTGAGATGAACAATGCCGGGGACTCAACACTGACAAAGACAACCGCAGGCCCTGCTTCACAGGGCTTAGTCCAGTAGGGGTAGACAGACCTATCTTAGACAGTGACAGCCTGGTGGATCAAGGGGAGACACCTGGTGATCAAGAGGGCTTCCCAGAGAATTCATAAGGATAACCAAAGGAATACTGAGAAGAGCATTCAAAGGCAAGGGCGTGCGCATAGACAGAAAAGTTTGAAACAGACTAGGGAGTGGGAAGACAGGGATGAAAAGGTAGGCAAGCCTGACAATGCCATCTTTGATGCCAGATCTCAGGGCCTGGACTCTGTCCCAAGGGCCCTGGGGAGTCAGGAGAGTTTCTAGCAAGGGAGGGACAGAGTCAGGTTTGGCTTTAGTAAAGAGTCCCCTGGCTACCATGCAGTGAGTGTACCAGAGTGGGGAGACAGGCTGGGAGCCCAAGGGAAGCTGAAGTAAGAAATCCCTGCAGGTAGCTGGAGCATGGCAGGGCTGTAACAAACGGTGGAGGCGGCTGGTGGGAAGGACAATCTAGAGGCTGAGTGGATGGGCCCTCGGGCTGAGAGGCTGGATGGGAGGGAGACACTGAAGGGCGAGGCCCAGGGCTCTGGCTTGAAGAGGGGGTACCCTGAGATGGCGATTGGGAGGAAATGCAGTTTGGGGGAGATACTACAAGTGTGGGACTCAGTGGATGGGAGGGTCTCAGAGGATTTCCAGGGCGAGGTGTCCAGGACACTGTGGGGCCCCAGGTTTGGGGCAAAGAGATGACGCTGGGGTTAGGGAAAAGAGACAGCCCGTGGTGGTGGTAAGAAGCGTGGGAAGAAGACAGCCAAGGACAGGGATCAGGAAGCGCCCACCACCTCAAACAAGTCCTGGGGCAGGCGTAACGGGGATAACACGTACCTCGAAGGTGGATATGGCTTTCTCTTCTTTTGCATCACCTCAGCGCCGGAAGGGCGCCTCTCAGAGGAGGGGGGCTACTGCGCAAGCGCAAGCCACTGATGCGCATGCGCCCCTCATTCCCGCTCAGCCGTGGGAGCAAGCGCCTGCCTGGGTCACGTGGCGGTCACGTGGCGATCACTGTGGGAGCTAAACGGTAGGTGGAAAGACCCCCTGGGCTGGGGCCTAGGCCCCAGAATCTTCCTAGAGCTTACTGGGCTCTCAGGCTAGGCCCCACCCCCAGACCGCCCCCTTCCCGCATACTCCCCGCTCCTTCCCACCCCTGGTGTCCGGCGGACCCTACCCCTTATGAGACTCCGGCTCCCAGCCCACAGACACGTCCTCCTTCCCCCTCCTTCCTCAGTCTCCTCCAGTAGCCCATAGACCCCACCCCAGCGCCCAGAGGCTTCCCTGGACCTCAGTCCGTGTCCCCAACCCTCACACCCTGTCTCAGTCCGCAGAGCCTGCTTCAGGGCCTCAGCCCCTGCCCTGACTGCTCTCCTCCCTTCCACCCCCTCGCCCAAGCCTGGAGACTCTACCCCTTCTCAGGCCAACCCTCAGGCCCGTCTTCCACCAGACCCTTTTCCTAAACCACTAGTCTCCTTTCCTCAACTCAGATCCTATCCCTGGAGCCCTTACACCCCCCCCCCCCCCCCAGAAAGAATGCCCAGCCCTCAGACTCCCTTAGACCCCAGACCTGCCGGGCTGTCGTTCTCCCAGATCCCACCCCTTTTCTCATTCAAACACCTGAACAGCGGAGCAGATTCCTCCTGATAGTCCCCTCCCTTTCTCACTCGGCTCTCCAGGACTCCCAGCCAGCTCTGTTTTTATTACCCCCAGGTAATAAAGAGGTCCTCTGTTTACTTCCTCCTCCCTCATGAGACACCCCTAGGTGATCCGTGCCCAGGAGCTGAGCGGCTGGAGCCCACAGATGCCCTCCCTGCGCTCTCGTTTCCCCGTGGAGCTGGGCTCTGTTAGGGATCCAGAAACCCAGGTGGGACGACTGCATCGCCTGGCGATGGCCAGGGGCCCAGGCTGGGGCCTCACGCGGCTCCTGCGGAGAGGTGAGGGGCCAGCTCAAGAGGCCGTGTAGAAGGTGGGACTTCTACACGCTCAACAGTTGTGTACCAGGCGCCTGTGGTGTACCAGCCTCTGTCGTCTATGACGGGGATTTAGGGACGACCTTCTGGGTCATTGTGAATGAAATCTATCATGAGAATTTAAGAGAGTGGTGAAGATGAAGTACCTACACCAAGAAGGGTGGCTTTATAGGAGCCGGTCATGCAAACCACACCCCCACCCCAGGGAGACAGAGCCACTGCAAAGGCCTTGAAGTCAAACTGTTAAGTAGCAGCAGTGGGGGAGGGGACTCAGAGAGAGGGCTGAAGCCTAAGAGGCAGCAGCTCCATCCAGACAGGAAAGGGCCTCTGAAGTAGTGGGTGAGTTCTGTTATATTTTGTTCTGTGTGTGGGGAGGGAAGCCATTGGAGCTGTAGGCAGGAAATTAACATCTAATTTACAATTTCCATTTTTCATCGATTTCTCTAAGTCGATTGTGTTTCTGGCTACTTTCTGAATTCTAATAGTTGTAGTTTTTGAATTCTTTTACTTTTGTTACCCACAGATGGTGACAGTTTGGTCTCGGCCCTTTCAGCTTTTTTTTTTCTCCTGTGAGGTGTTGGCCAGAACCCCCAAGCCCCCAAACCTTGTTGTCAATGGATATCTCTTAACTTGTTCTTGATATTAAAGGGAATTAATCTGTATTTCTGCATTAAGTATTGTGGGTGCTCTTGGGTTTTGGTATATAATTTTTATAAAGTGAGGAAGTTCCTGTTTAGTCTTCGCTTTTTGAGGTATTTGCCCCCGTCAGTCATAAGTAAGTATTGAATTTTATTTTTATTTATTTAATTTAGTCATTCATCACTTACCTATACCACCCAGTGCTCATCATAACAAGTGCCTTCCTTAATAACCATCTCCCATTTAGCCCATCCCCCACCCACCTCCCTCCATCAACCCTCAGTTTGTTCTCTGTCATTAAGAGTCTCTTATGGAAGTTTTGAATTTTATCAGGTGCTTTTTCTGTATTTACTGAGCCAGATGTGATCTTTGTTCTTTAGTCCATGAATGTGTTTTCCTACATTGATTGATTTTCTTATGTTGAATCGTCCTTGATTTCTGGGAATAAATCAATTGGATAATCCCTTTTAATCTCTTTAGGGGGTTAGCATATATGACCATAAATGGAAGTGAAACATTTCATTTTTGGTTCTGGAAATGTACCTGACTTTGGAATTAAGGTCATACTAGCCTCATAAAAGGAGCCTTGCCCTCTCTCTCTCTCTCTCTCTCTCTCTTTTTTTTTTTTTTTGCTTTTGGAACAACTTGTATAGGATTATCTATACGTGAAATGAAATGATTACCATTGTAATGATTATCTATATCATGCAGTGATTTGTGTTTTAAGAAGGTCCTTTTGCAGGGCAAGACAAATGCAGAAAACCAGTTAGGATGCCATTGCAAAAAACAGTGGGCTACTGGATAAAATAGGGTGCAGTAGTTGTGATATTCAGATGTTCCTAAAGGACCACATTTGGAGAGATTTTGTGACAGAGACCAAGCTGGGTTGGGCCAAGCACATGATTGGTTTTCGCCATATCTGCCTAGGACATAGCGCAAGGACAAAGACACCATGCATTTGCCCTGCATTTGCCCTCAGTAGGGAGATAGGAAGGGCCTAGAGGAAGAAGAATTCAGGGTAATGGGTATGGAGAGGAGGGGTTAGGAAGGGGATCTGAGCAGAATGAGGGGGGGGGAAGAGATTGGCATAAGTGGAGGTGCAGAGGAGATTGCTACTTGGATTCGGCTCTTAGAAGCAGTATTCAAAAATAAACTTGAGAGATTTCCTGATAAAATCCAAAGAGTTTGCTTTTCTTGAAGAACTGGATGCTAGCCACGTGGGACCTGTATAGATTCACTGAAGTAGAGCTGGGTGGAGGCTGCCAGCTTTGGACAGTGCACGAGGCTCCTGTCAGCTGAGGTCCCTGAGAAGTCCACTTCCCCCCCGGCCCCTGGGTACCTTTGTGTGATTTTTGACACTTCTGGGGTGGCAGATGGGTGGCAGCATGGCAGGTGGATGTCACCCCTTGTGGCAACTCTGTAGACTTATTAATGGTGAGCACTGTGTTGAGACAGATTCTGAGCAGAGTCCCCAGTGGTTGGAGGGTGGGGGTTCAGGACATACAGATAGAATCTGGAGTTGAGGGTCACCCAGGCAAGGAAGGACTGCGGGGACTGGGAATTGGCAGAGGCGTTGCATAGCAGTCCCCGGGACCTCTGCCTCTGGAGTAAAGGGCAGGAACAGTCCTAAGCCTTGCTGCCCCTCAGTTGTCCAGGTGGATGGTGAGAACTCTGCTGGGCAGACGGGGCTCTTCCTCTCGGCACTGCTGGGCCACAGCTCTGCCGTGCAGCTCTTGCTGACCTTTGGCGCCAACCCCAACCAGTGAGTGGACCGAAGGCGGTGCCCCCACGCTCCCAGGGGTCTGGGTCAGAACCCCAGAGAGCCTGAGAGCCAGGGCTTTCCTCCCCAGAGACCACTCCCTCATGACACCTTTCCATCCTGATGACCCTTCCATGCCCAGTGATCTTCCCCCTTGTTCTCTGGATTAACCCCTCCTTGTCCTCCAGGGACTACTCCCATTCTCCTGGTTACTGTCATGCTCACAATGAGACTCTCACCTCTCAAAGACCCCGCTGTGTCCCCAAGCGACCCCTCCTGTCCCGATGTCCACCTCCCATGTTCACCGTGACTCCTCTCATCCCGCCACCCCTTGTCCCCGTTCCGCCCCTTTCCTAATACATTTCTGTCCTCATTGTTCTGATACAGCCGCTGCCTCGATGGCAGCACACCTGTGCACGCAGGCGCCTTCTCGGGCCGCAGTCTGGTGATGCTGCACCTGCTCCAGGCGGGGGGTGACCTGCGTTTGCATGACCAGCAGGGTCGCACGCCTCGGGACTGGGCAGAGCAGGGTGGTGCCAAGCAGAGCTGGGAGGTGAGCAGTGGCCCAGGTGGGGTGGGGGCATATAGAGCCAGCACCCGCACCTGCCTCACTGCACACGGCCCCCATCCAGGTGCTGGAGCTGTTAGAGCTATGCCGAGCCCACATATCGGCACTAGCGCATGGCGGTGAGTTGGCAGCCAATGCATCCCTGGGCCAGTTGCAGGCCAGCTCTAGACACAGCCCGTGTGGCTCTCTGTCCTTGCCGCGGCTGGTGCATGCGGACAGGTAACCACCCCCAGCCTGAAGCCCAGTCAGCCACCACCCCCAGCTGCCCTAGACTTACCCCTGGCCTTCCGTTTGACCCAGGGCACCGAGGCCAGAGCACAGCAGAAGACCCTCCCAAATCCCAGCCTTGGGGTTTGGCCAGGTAAGCGGGAGAAGTTGGGGGAGCAGGGAACACCCCTGTCCGCTTTGTGCCTCATAGTCCCACTCCCCATCCCCAGCTGAGCAGCCTGTGGCCACTGGGGCTGGTAACAGGCATACCCCTCGCGGACCCCAAGGAGCTGCTGCCAGCCCAGGGCGAGCCCGACCGCACCTACGAGAGCAGCTCCCACACCCTCATGGCCAAGTGAGAGAGAGCCCCTCCCACACCCCCTGCCTAGCTGTCCAGCGGAGTCTGGGAGGTGTCCAGCTCTCCTCCTTCCCTCATAGGAAGACCCCCCCCATTTCAGACCTGTGCTCTTTTCCCCTCCCCATTCTCTAGCCTCCTGTGGAAGGGCCACCCCGTGACAGCTCGGCAGCTGAAGGCACCTGGAACTCAGCCAGATGTGCTGTTGGCTGACCTTCAGCACTGCAGGTACGCCGCCCCCAGCCTTGCCCCCAGGCTGGCCCAGTCCCCCAGACCGGTCTCCCACCTGCCCTCCGGACTCCAGTGTCTCGTAAACAGGAGGCCAGGGAGTTTGGCAGTGGCCACGGTTGCAGTCTTCACCTCTGGGCCAGCACCTGGCATGGAGCCCTCTTACTGGAGTGACCACCCCTCCTCCCCTCTGTAAAGTGGGTCCCAGGGCTGTGTGCTCTGTATTACGGGCCACAGAGAGGTGGCTGGGCGTAGAGAGGGGTACCCCGGATGCAGTATGAACTGGATGCTGGCCCTGTGAGCCAGGTCTCAGTTTCTCGTCTGTCTGGTGGCTGGTGCAGATCGTCAACCCCTGGCACGTGCTGATCTGTGCCCAGGAGCAGCCCCCACCAAGCGGGTCGGGGCCTCCTTGTGAGTGGCCCGCTCTCCTCCCGCCCAGCACCCTGCACCACCCCAACCTGTTGCTGCTGATGGCACTGAGCCCCTCGGCCGACCTGTCAGGGCTGTGCCTTCTCTTCGAACCCGTGTGGCTGGGCTCCCTGCACGTGGTGCTGCACCCCCGCGGCCCGAGTCCGGGAGGGCCCTGCACCGTGCCGGGCCTGTCGCCCGGCCACCTACTTCTACAAGTGCTGGAGGCCCTGCTGTTCCTGCAGGCCCGCTGGCGCGCTCATGGCGGCCTTAGCTCTCATGCAGTGCAGCTAGTACGGCCAGGCCTGGCCAAGGTGGGCAGCCTGGAGCACGGGCGCCCCCTGCACCAACGCTGGCTGCAGCCCAGGTGAGTGCCCGCCTCCCCTGCCTGCCCCTGTATCCCTGTCCAGTGGCTGCTGGCTCACCAGCACCCCCCCCCACCCCCCCACCCCCCGCCCCGGCCTCCATAGGCCACAGCAGGGCTGCTCCCGGGGAGGCCCAGGCCCGGGGCTGCCCCCGCCTCCTGAACTGTACCCATGGCTGCCACTTGAGCTCATCTGCGGGGACATGCCTGCTGCCACCTCAGATCTCTACAGCTTTTGCATCCTGGCCCAGGAGGTGTTCACCGGTCAGTGAGTGATCCTACACCCTGCCCTGCTGAGGTCGCCCTTCGGGTTGGGTCCCCCAGTCATGCTTCCTCACAGGAGAGCTGCCCTGGGCTGGGAGAAAGGGGCCTGAGGTGAAGGCTAAATTGGAGGCAGGTGAGAGCCCGGCCCTGGATCCCCTGGTGCCGGCCCCCTACCAGGCCCTGGTTCAGGCTGGGCTGGGCCTAGGGCCCGCCGACCGCTGGGGCAGCCTGCAGAACACTCGATACCTGCTGCGGGAGGCCATGGCCCAGGTATGGGACGGGTTGGCCGGGTGGGTGGTAGCCATGGAACCTTAGGCAGGACCCACGTCGCATACTCAGCCTCCTTTCCACAGGACCCAGCTCCTGAGGTGAGCTCCCCGATGCACTGGAGTGCGCGGTGCCCCGTGTCTCAGGGTTTCCTACCAGGTTAGAGGGCACGGAGCGGGTGGTAGCCAGTGCTGAGCGCAGCTCTCCTCCCCCCATTCCAACCAACTGGTCTGTCCCCCCAGAGACACTGTACTGTGAGGTGGTTCCCAGAGCCAAGTCTGCACCCAGGCCTGTGCCCCCTTTGATGTCCCTAGGCCCCTCCCCATGCCAGGTAGGAGCCAGAGCAGGGATCTGGGGGACCAAGGGAGCTGCGGGCCACCGGAGGGACAGGGATGGGGACAGCAGGAGCCAGAGCAGGGATCTGGGGGACCAAGGGAGCCCATGCCACCTCCTGCCGTTGTGTCTGCAGGCCCTGAAGACTCCTGAGGTCACAGGCCGCAGCAGAGTCCAGAGGGCCCCAGCCTGGGACTCTGGCAGCAGCTTGACTCTAGGCAGCAGACTGACTCCTGGCCCCAGCCTCTACCCAGGCTCCAGCCCCGCAGGCCGGGTCAGCCTGCACCGCTGTCTGGAGCCCAGCTCGACAGTATGGATCCCCCCAGGGCCCTGTGTGACCAGACCGTCCGTTTGTTAAACTGTGACCCCTCACCCCAGTTGTCACCAACCCCAGTTTCCCTGGCTGCTTCTCCTTTGACCAGGGACCTCCCAACTGTCCTCTCACTGACCCGTGCCCCCTGACGAACCCGCCTTCCCCCAGGGCCCTGCCCTGCACTCCAGGCTGCGGGACTCAGCCTCCCTGCTGGGGACCCAGGGTTCTGTGGAGCGGTTTGAGAGGAACTCAGCCAAGATGCCAGCCCTGCAGGGGCTGCAGCGGCACACACACACAGGGCCGCCCTGCTGGAGCCCCTGCCCTGTGAGCCCACTCCCTGCCTGCTGACCCACAGGGAGGCCTCTCACACCCTGGAGGCTGCTGGCAGGGAAGGCCACGAGGGTGGGTGAGACAGAGGACCCCGAGCCTGTCTCCTGCCCCCCCACCCCCACCCCCGGCCAAGGCCCATCCCGAGCTCCATGGCTACTGGCTGGCAGCTCCAGCCTTCTTCTCCTACAGGAGTCCAGTCCTGAGCTGATCGGAGGAGGTCTCTTCTCCAGCCTGCAGAAGTAAGAAATGGGCCCTGCTGCCCACACACCGCCCCCCCGCCCCCCGCCGTCCCTTCCTCATCCCTGCGGTGACCCTGGCTCCACCCCTATCCCACTGCTTCCCAGGATGGACCTCCTGGAGGAGATCACAGCAGAGCTGCAAGGTGGACAACTCGGAGACAAGCCCAGCGTCGACCCAGCTCCTGGCACCGTTTCTTAGAGTACCCGTGACTGCCTCTCTGCAGACACCGCCCCTCAGAGCCTCCCAGGAGTGACTTCCCACGCAGCACTTGCTGAAGTGATAAAGTGATAAAGTAACCCAGCTGTCTCTGCCTCTTTGTTCCCTGAGTCTGGCCCCAGCATGACACTAGCACCCGTATTTTCACGGTTTTTATTCATTAATTTTGTCAGATGGTTTAGTGGGGGGTGTGGGGGGAGATGGGCAGGAGCTGTTCCCCACCCCCCTGTGCACAGGTCAGGACAAGCTGGGGGCTCCTGGAGGGAGAGGGAAGACAGGGTGTCAGCCTAGCCCTCAGATTTGTGCGAGAGCCCCCGGGGACAGGAGGGTGGTGGGGGGATGGGTGTGCCTTTCGGCCCAGGGTAGGGAAGCCATAACAGGTTAGGGACCCACATCAGAAACAAGTTACAAAGTTAGAAACCTGGGGTAGGTGTCGGGAGCTCAAGAAAATACAAAACAAGCGATTAGATGGGTCCAAGATCAGTGAGGGCGAAGGGAAGGGAGGAAGGTCTCTCTCCTGGCTGTGGCTCAGCAGTAGCTTCGGGTCTGACCCTCAGAGTGGAGGGACCAGCTGGGAGTGGGGTAGGGGGGTGGGGGACCAGCCCCCTCCCTTCCTTGCCCCCCATTCCTGTACAAGGACCCTCGGTGGTGCTCGCCCCCCCTCCCATAGGCTGGTGGGGCTGCCCTGTACAGCAGGAGAGGCTCTGGAGGGCCCCAGGGCGCAGGCACCCTGTGAGGGGTGTGGGGGCCCCAGGGGGCCCGCTGTTTCTGGGGTAGGCGGGGGACTGGGGGGCCAGGATCTGAACGGCTCCGGGGGTGGGCAGGAGGAGAGGAGGAGCAGGAAGAGGCAGGTGAGGGACCCCGGGGCCCCAGAGCTAGATTAACGTAGAGGGGCTCGGGCCGGGTAGGGCGCCTGGCGGGATGCTGGGGGGCTGAGTAGCCAAGGTGGTCATGGGGAAAGCAAGAAGGGGGTGGTGGGTAGCTGAGCAGGAAGTCGGGGGACCTGTGGAGTGGTGGCGATTGGCCAAGCAGGCCATATGAGGCATTGAGCCTATCTGGGGGCATAGAGCGAAAGGGACTCCAAGACCTCGTGGGGCCAGAGTACGGGGTTCCCTCACCTGTCTCGATTTCGTAGTACAGGTTCTCTCCCCTGTCAAGTGGTGCAGGGGGACCTAAGGGGCTCCTCCAGACTGGGGCTGGGGAGCTGGGCTGGAAGGATGGGGAACCCAGGGGGTACAAGCCTGGTTTGGGGACCCCAAGGAAGGGCGGCAGGCACTCCCGAGGGGCTGAAGAGAAGAAGCCGGGAGTAGGAACCTGTGGGGGGACAGAATACAGGAACTGAGCTGCCATCTCTGGCTAATCCCCACACCCCCTGCGCCCCCACCCCCCGCCACCTCTCCTGAGCTGGGCACTGACCTGGGCAGGGCCTCTGAGTCCCCGCCTTGAGGTCCCTGGGGGCCGCTGGCTCCTCACCAGGCTCCCGTCACTTTGTTGCCTTGGCAGGGAGGGTGGGGGTCCAGGAACCCAGGCACCTGGGTGGCCTAGGGAGTTGGGGGCCGGCCCAACCCCTGAGGTCCCTGGGGGCTCACCGCTCACCTCCAGTGACAGTGAGCGGTGGAAAGGGGAGTGGGGAGCAGAAGGGGTGCTCCCATGCTCTTGTTGGTTCTGTCTCTGGGCCACCTGCTGAGCCCGCTCAGCCAGGGCCAGGGCCATGAGGCGTGCTGGGTTCTTGGGGGGTGGGGGTGGAGCCCCCCCAGGGCGCAGGAGGGACAGCGGTGGGGGCAGGAGCGGTGAATCCATACCAGGACCTACAGAAAGAGGAGTGGAAAGAGGAGTCAGCCAGGTCTTGGGTGCAGCTTCAGGGTCTGTAAGGGCATGGGGTGGGCTGAGCAAGACTCACCAGGCTGGCCCTGGGCTCCCCGGGGACCAGGCAGCGCCAGCTTGCTGCAGATCTCCTGCTGGCAGGTGTCACTCAGCCGGGCCTCGGCTCCGCGCAGCAGCAAGGGGATGAGATGGGGCCGTAGGCCTGGGCTGGGGCTGAGGGCCGGCGTTGGGGTGACTGAGGCAGGCGTTGCCCCGGCCCCCAGCAGCTCCAGGACAGCAGGTGGCACTGATACAGCCAGGGGCTCTGAGATGTCCAGGGCAGTGGGCGAGGCAGGGCTGGCGGCCCCTCGGGGCGAGAGGGCCCGGGGGGTCACCCTGGGTGGGAAGGCGGAGGCAGGGGCTGGCGGCGCCGGGCTGGCGGGTGGCGCCGGGTCCCCTGGTGTGGGGCTGCTGCAGCGAAACGTAAGGGGATCGAAGTCGAGCCCCCGGAGCCCCTCCAGGCAGCGGGGTGGGCTGAAGTCCAGCTCGTCACCATCATCTAACCAGGCTGAGGTTCGGTGTGAGGGGGAGCCAGAGAGCGCCCCCAGCCCAGCTGCTGAGGACCCAGAGGACTCGGAGGACTCGGAGGAGGACTCGGACTCGGAGGAGGAGGAGGAGGACTCGGACAGGCTCTCGCAGGAGCCAGCAGGTGCTGGGCCCACAGGGAAAGCATCGCTGCTGGAGTGGGGTCGCCGGAGCCTAT